TGCATCTGCAGAGTTCATTTGTCCATACTGAAATGATGCCCGCTTTTCATCGACAAAACTGCTCACCGGCCATGAATTGGAGTCCAGCTCAACAGCTGGGATTCCTAATGCAGATAATTTATTCCGCGGAATTATCTGTAATTAATCAATTCCTTCCAAAAAATTATGTGTAAAATTTAAGCAAGGCATGGATCTGAAGAAACTAGACGAGAGGACCAGACTTGATAAACTTCTTACAGTACATATTAGTAAAAAATGGGCATTCTGAAATTAGGTTCAGGAGGTGAGGAAGTTAATGAAATTATGATAGCATTCGTTTAAAATAGTTCAGAATAGTAGCAAATATTTTACTAATAAACAATAAAGGCAAACTTTAGTTTTCTTCATCCTCTTCACCTTTGTATAACTGTCGGAATTATTCTGTTGGGGAATTGACGTTGAAACACGCTGCTGAAACGACACCGTCCCCGTGCCATTATCTATGTGTACTCGATTGCGCCGTTTCGGCATTTTTTCAGGCACTGGATCTTCTACTCCTCTAAAAAAATTTCCCTGTATTTTGATTCACCTGAATTACCTCTAAAAGAACACATGCAAAACGCTGACAAATGATAAATTCTGAACACAACTTCGCTAAAAGAACTTGATGATCAAGCAGTCTGATGAAAACATGAAGCGCTAAACATTATTCCTGGAAGTCAAAAGGAATGATTTAGCAAAAGGAATGAAAGTCAAAAGGAATGATTTAGCACTATGACAGGAACTACTATGTTGTTTTGGAAGGCATGTATCACTAATATAGCAAACATACCGTGATTCACAGTTAAGATCTGCAGATTTCCAAGTCAGTTCATCTTTCACAGTAACGAAGGAGTCTCCAACAACCCGTTCAGTACTTATAAGTAACTGAAATATTTAATAAAAACCTTATTCAGAAATTTAAATATGAGACCAGAGAAATAAATCACACCTTCATTTTTTCCGTATTCGTGCACTCGAAATTTTGCTTTCTCAGTCTTTTTCGTGGTGATACTTCCACGGCTCCAGCAACCGCAACCTTAGATACAATACTAATTACGAATAAACAAATTTGTGAAAATTCATGGATTCAGTACAGATCTTTACCGCGATAATCTGTCTAACCTGATCTGAAAAGTTCTTCGTGTTTTGCACAATGTTGCCAATGAGTAGAGCAGGCGTTTTCCTAGCAAAAATTCCACGAGTATCAGGTGATATGCATGGTGCTCCACTCAGTATACGACTGTCTGTAGCATTTGTGCGTTTGAAACACATTAAACTGAAAATGAAATAGAAGATATTGAATGACACATAAGGATGAGCTCCTGCAACAATTAAAAGTTGAAGGAAAAAACTCGCCTTGAATTGTCTTTTACTGCAGTTAAGGGGGACGCCAGAACTTCCTGATATGGATTTGCATGAGCTTCCGCAACAATTAAGCGACGCACTGCAGAGAGAGGGCCTGAAAAAACCGTGAACACGTCAAGAAATACAGAAAGCTTCATTCAAAACGGAAGTAGTGAAAATATGAATATTTCATAGAATGTCTCAAAACAGCCACTATAAAATCTTTTGTTTTAAACTCTTTTACTATAACATCAAGTTACTCTACTTGACCTCTTTCACTGAAACATCAAGTTACCTGATTCGCGGTTTTTGCGCAAAATAGTGGGTCGCGCACTCGGTCCAGGGTAGGAGGTACCAACTATGCCATCATGCTGTCCTGCCGAAATAGGAATACCTGTATCATGCAGTGTAGTAATAGACGCAGTAGAGGCAGTAACAGGTGCAGAACACGTTATGTTTACAGTTGGTGCGGGTATCATGACAGGTTTCACATCCGCTCTTTCATCAGAAATACGTGTTACTACTTTCGCACCACGCAAGAAGTCCTAAACCGAATTTTATAAAATAGACAGAAGTAAATTTTTTAAAAGAAAAAAATTTCGGTCTTTTCCCATCCTTCTGTCCAGTATATAAAACTTGCAGCTTCCTTAGCAGACGTTAGAAGCTAATTTATGCTCTAGGGATGTATAAATATTGTTTTCAATAAAAATAATCATTAGAAAAACAACTTCTAAGACGCATCAAATAAGGTAATGAAAAGAAAACGCTGCGTTCCTCAGCAGCTAATACTTGCTTACAAGCTAGAATTACTGAGACAATACGAAACGCACCGCACTGCTTACAATTGGATTAACTCGAATAGAACCTCGAACCGGTATATCACTAACACCAACAACACTTCGACCAGATGACAAATAACGACTTGAAAAGGATGAAATGAATATACTAAATTAGCTGATTCCCAGACTAGAATACTATATAACGAAAGCAAAAGAAAAGTTCTACTGGAAAAACATATCCTATAAAAATCCAAATACATGGATTCTAGTACAGTTAAATCAACTATGAAAAACAATTACAAAATATCAACTTCAGGTAGAGTGTCATACCGTGAATCGATATTCCCACAGTTTGCAAAAGCGGCTGGAGAAGACCGAACAGCGCGTGATTCCTCCAATTCTCGAGCACGTGGCGATAAAGGAAGAACAGGTTGCTGTGCACCTGCTAAATGTAAATTATGTTGCTGCTGAAGATATACAGTCGTCATAGGGCTACCACTTAACTGGGCAATGTCATCTAAAAATAAACATTACTTAAGAAAAAAAAGAACGACCAAGTAAGTATACGACGTATACGAATGTGATGCCATACCATTATTGATAACATATTAGCACTAAAATGTTCAAATTGACAGCCACTTCAAAATTTTCAAAGCATTACAGAAAACCCTACTACAAAAAAAAAAAAAAAAACCTCAGCTTGCTTTAAGCCATCATTTTGATGATGAAACGACAGCATCTTTTATACAAATCCTAAACTTCCTTAGAAAATGTTGCACATTTTTTTTTTTTTTTTTTTTTTTTTGACAGAAATTCATTTCACAGTTACGAAAAATACAATTCATTGCCTAAACTAACATGATTTCAAAAAGGAATGGGCAGCACCAACTGGACGTATGGTAACTAATTTAGAACGACCAGGAACAGCAGTGGCGCACTGGGGAACAGAAGAAACTGTTGTTCCATAATGTACCACTTTTTGACTACCATTTGAACAACCTGCTGGAAATGGCGCATTTGCTTGGCTCCTTATGTACGTCTATAAATAAAAGTGCTTACCTAACAAACTCTACATAATAAATAATACACACTGAGGAAAAAATGCAATAAGCCTGCTTCATATAATAAGGACAACAAATTCAAACTAGTGATCCTCTAGAAATATAGAAACTAACCTTCATAAATTGACGTGAATTCTGCTGCAAAGCAATACTCGGCACAACTGGAGTAATTCGAGCTATGGGAACATTAATTGACTGTTGAAAGAAACGTCGACCATCTCTCTTAAAATTGAGAAAGGAATATTTAAGCATTCGATAAGTGAAAAAGCTTAATCATCTGTATGAGCAGAAATTGCGAAAAAAACAAACAAAATGTATTGGACTTACTCTTTCCACTTCGTCAACAGACGGCATTGTCTCATCGCAAGTTAAATCTGAAACTATAATAACAATAATAACGTGCCACGACCACGCCAACTTTGCAATATCAATTTTGTAGTATGAAGGTCAAGTTTGTCTGAAAGAAAATCAAAGACACAATTTTCGAACTTACCACGAGACATAGTAGACCGTTCTACGACGAGCTCTACATCAAACGGACAAAAGTTTCTGAAAAAGAATACACTTTAAACCACTGACCGAAAAGTTACTATACTATACAAACGACAAACGGGTACGGAAACCGAACAGTCAGGCTACAAAACGAGAAATGTCGAAATCCCCCCAAAAAAATGATAATTGACTGTAAAGCATTTAGAATCCAAATGTTACAAATGAAGTGCAAAGGAGATGAAGGTTTCAAAGAGTGCAAAATAATGAGGAAGTGTAGATAACATTAATTATCATCTTCACGAAATTATGGACGACAGTACAATTCAGGTCGAGATAAAGAACAGCGTCGCTAAGCACATAAACGCAAAGGATGTATAATGATAACGATGAACCAAATTTCAAGCAATGGGCAGGATGCGAACAACCTTGTAAGATAGGTGTAACAAAACAACCAATACTATGGGGAAAATGCAATGATGAAATGTGCTTCTTAATTGTAGCATCACCGTATGTGTTTGCGTCACCAACCTTGTTCTTAACCGGATGTTTCTGAAGTAATAGCGGGAAATATCAAACGAAATGTAATCAAGAAGGGACATCCGGAAATTATGCATTCGAAATTGCAATAGCCAGTGAACACAAATTTCACGCGACACAAATTCACGAGCAGCAGAAAAAGAAAAACGACAGCAACCATTGCAAATATTGCGCCCACTCGATGCTATTGAATTTACTGACAGCTGCAATTCTGATCTCGTACTCTCTGCAACCAGCACCGTCCTCTCTGTCCTATCCTCGTCTTTTCTATTCATGCATGTGGAGAGAAGAGGGGATACCAGTTTTGCTGTTTTATTGAGAGGCAGAGAAAAGAACCGAGAGTAGAGCAGTGCTGTGCAGTCCTCATGGAAGAAGGTAAAGGTACTTACAACCGTTGCTGGTAAATGAAAGGTGGTACCATAAAAGGTCGACCCACGTCACGCATACCTCCTTCTCCTCTTTCTTGTTCAATTCAGTATCCATACGTCTTCACTGAGACGAATCATCAAACATATTCTTCATCCTTTCACTGAGATTAATTCTCATTCAAGCACTAAGTTTCGTTTTTTGGTTTTTGCTAGCTGCAGATATTTCGGGGAAACAAATTGTAAAAGACGATAAAAGCATGCTTCATTAGTAAAGTGTATGTTGATGTTACACACAAAAATAAACAGTTGTCGAAATGAGTAGTCAATAAGTATTTCTTACTGAAACGGTCGATAATTTTGACGTAGTACGTCGATCGTAGAGACTGGCAGACGACGGCATGCGGTGGGATGGTGGCTTTGAGCGGATGATTGCGAGAGAGTCGCAGAGAAGCGTTGCGATAACGAGAAGTTTGTGTATTGCCTTAGAAAAGAGGTTGCACGAAGTTCGATGTATTCTGGGTAAGGGATCTTTTATGGTATATGTCGTCACTGGATGGTATAAATGGCTAGTAACTTGGTCAATTCATTCACATTATCACTTAATTATGGAGGCAAGAGGAATTTACTCAGCTGCCAATATATTTGTTTACTGTTGCACTTTGTGCCACAAAGACTAAATCGCAACTTTCGATAGTTTAGCTCCTTCTCCGCTCACTTGCATGCTAGTACTTCATCCTGCATGTTAATCTGTTTGCATTCTCTGTCGTAAAAATCATCCGCTCAGTGTACTACAAAGTAGTGCCAACTAAATTTGTGATGAGTTCATAAATAGAAATTAGTTCCTATGGTTTTTTAAATATGCAAACCCATACAGCTGTATAATAACATCTGAAATAAGAGCCAAGTTTAATAAGCATAATAAGAGCTAAAATCTTAAATCCATCACCTAAAGCGAGACTTGTAAAATACAGTTCCCAGTCTCATATTAAGTGATAAATTTCATATATTAACGCAGTTGATCCTGACCACTTCAGCCAAAATTAAGACATGGTATTCTATTATTCCTACATAAAGTAGCTATTAATTGTATCATAGTAAATCAAGAAGACAAACATCTGAAATGAAGAAGATAATAAGGAAATTGGAATTGTCAGTGTACAAAAATCCTTTCACTAAAAGTAACTTTAATAAGCCAGTCTGAGAGAATTTTCCGATTTTTTTTTTTTTTTTGAGAGTGAATTCTATGTTCAATGTCATGCTCTTATCAAGTCATTAAACATGTAACATTTCCTTGTACCTCGGTAATATACGTAATATTACTGTTTTAGCATAGGTTATGTATGCAGTATGTTAAGCCTTAAATTTCTACTCTCCACATTACAAATCACCTGCATATTCCGATAACGAAAACCTGCTCCTTTCCATAATTAACTACGAACAACAGAACTCCCTCAAAGGCTTCGAAATCACCGGACTTCTGTTCATCTCTGGACTGAGCGCTAAAAACTTCATACGGCTCTTCATGTGAAATTTATTGTCCCCAGTTAAAGAAAGTAACGAGAAACATCTGAGTCAGAAACGTAAACTGCAAGGCTTTTTTTTCGAATAGTTGGCATTGTTTGGTGTTTTTACTATAGAAAAGATTTGTGTGTTTTCAAAGTATGAAATATTACACTCAAAAATGATTGAGAATTCGAAGACAATACTTCGCTCACTGTCAATGCAAATGAGAAATGTTTTAGAATCAATAACTTGTTTAGTACTTGAAGCCTGAAATTTTCCTTTCATTAGCTTTCTGTTTTAGAGCGGAGAAAATTTGGTTTATGATGACACTTGTACTTGATGGAATAGCACCTGAACAGACGCTGGTCCTGTTGAAATTAGAAGATGGACGTGATCTTCATCAGGCACTGAGGGCACTCGATTTTCGAGAGGTGGTATTACTGATTATAAAACTGATATTGTATGTGCAGGCAATATATTTGTGGAATTCAAGAACGTTCAAATTTTCAGTGCAACGTCTTCGAGTCTTCACCATGCGAGATCCTCTGTATTCCAAATCGACATCCTCACACTTTTTCACTGATATGTGAATAAGGTGGAGAATAAATTGATACTTCATATTTCACTTCATTTTTTTTTCCCTTTTATGTTAAAGTGTAGTCTTCAATTCTTCCCAGTTATTATGTTTTGAGATTGGCTTTAGCAATTTGACAGTGAAACTCTTTTTACAGTTTTCATGTCATGTCCCAAACACTTAATCTTTTTCCCATTTTGACGAGTTCTTGTCTTTACCGTACGACTTTCTGTCTCATGTGGAAAGCTATATTTTATACATTATAAAACATTTACTGATTACTTTCGTGCCAACTTACTCGGTGTTTACTTCCTTCAAACTTCATTACATGATATGTCAGTACTTTCTTTCTGTGCAGTTTCAAATTTGTATTTGCGAATCTAGGTAACAACTTCAACCACTATCGTTGATAAGGTACCTGTTGGGTTTCGTATGAGGGAATATACTTGCGAGGAATATACTACACTCATATTATCTCCATAGGTTATTGTTACCAATAATTGTTCCAGAAATTGTGGAACTGTTACTTGGCATTGTCTTCCCCATTCTTAAATCCTAAGCACTTTGTGCTTAGGATTTAAGAATGGGTACTTTTTTCTAGTACTTTTTATAACTGCGAGAACTACTACATCCTTGTTTGAAACTATGCGATCGTTTCTTGGGTTGGAATGGATATCCTAACATGTCTGAATATGCGTGCGTTATCTCTCAGGAAATATTCGTCCCTTACTTTCTATAAACTCCATGCGTTTGATTTTCTTCTTTATTTACCTTATTTATTTACTCAACATCTACTTGTTTGCCTGTATTCCTATCTGTAAAATTCCACTCAAAAGTCTTTCATCACCATGTGGTCGTATTTTATATGATCTTTGATTTCTTTATAGGACTCCAAATATAATTATTATCATTTGCCGTGGAAAGACGTACGTCGGATAATTTCTGAGTTTGGCAGGAAAAAAGCATAACAATTCATAGGGAGCGAAATTTTTGGGAATTTAAAAAACCTTTATTCCATATGATATAGTTTTCCTCACTCTCACCAAAATCGTTATAAAACGTCTCCATTTTTTGATATATTGTGAATAAAGCAGTCGGTTATTTATCTCTTAATAACTTCTGCAGGAGTCCACAGAATTGAGAATATGTGCCTTCATGGTTTATTCCTATCGGTAAACATAACAGATTTTATTTTTATTCCTACCGATAAGCATAAGGATCAGGTAGAAATTATACATCTAAGAATTCACGCTCACTACTGGAAAGATCTATTGTTATCTTAAATTGTTCTTTTACTTTGCTACATTGTGATTTCATTAAAATAAATTGACTTAAGCAGAATTAATCTGCCAATAAAAATATCAATAGTATCAACCTTGTTGTGTTGGAACTTCTGATTGTGTTAATTTCAAAAAGATCTGCAGTGCATTTAATTGTTTCACCCACTTACTAGTTGTTACACAAAAGCTGAAAATGCAGGATTATTTTTATGAAGTTAAGATTCTTTTAGAACTGTGTTATCGATATTAGCAAAAATGGTTTACGAATTGTCGTGGATGACCAGAATTGTGTTCAAGGAATCGCTTACTTTAAAAGCGATTTATTTGCAGAGTTTATTCTAAATGAAGATGTTGTAACGTTTCGCATTCCTCTCTGTATTTTTATGGTATTTTTGTCCACTTCACGACTTACTTTCCCTTTCTGTTACGTATTCATTGCTTTTCTACGAATTATCAATTTGCCACAGATATTAAGAAGTGCAAAATATCGAGTTACGACAATATAAGTACTCTCCCCTCTTTTATTTGTAGGAATGCTTAAGCGCCTTCGGTGCTGGAGTCAGTACAGTTCTGAAAATGACTTACGATGGTTACGGTGAACCTCTCAAAGTCATGCTCGAAAAGGATGAAATTGTTGCAAGATGCTTGATCAAAACACAGAACCCAGACGTAGTAAGTGATTTCCAGTTCTTTTGATGAATTTATTAAACTAAAACAAAGAGTGAAAGATATTTCTGATGTCAGCATGCAAATCAATTTAGGTACTTGATTTTGATTTCAATCCTGCCAGAGTTGCTGCAAAAGTTATAATGAAGCCATGGATGCTGAAAGAAACATTTCATGAGCTTGATCAGAGCAGCCCATGTGTTGGTTTCAGAGTTGACCAGTTTTCGTTGAGTGTAATCACGAAAGGAGATTTGGGTAGAATCAAGGTTCATTTTACACTTAGGTATCATATGTAGATCTATTTTGTGATACACTTGCAACACTACGTAGTTTTTCGATAATTGAAGTTACGGGTCGCGAGTATCCGACTTTCATTATGTTTAATTGTCGAAGTACGTTGAGCCTACATTTATTTGCAGACGATGTTTCCACATTATTCTGAGCAAATCGAACTGTTGGAATGTAATCAAAATGTCGAGTTTATCTATAGACTGAGTCTGGTAAAGCGAATGACTCCTTCGTTAGACATCTGCAGTAAGGTGAAGATATTATGGTATAAGGGTGGTCACTTAACTTCCTATAAAAACTGACTCGATAAATTTCGTGAAAAGATATTTTATTGCGTGACTTTTTTTAGTTGTCTCTTCGTATTGATCATCAAGGGATACTGTCTATACAATTCGTGGTGGAGCATAATGGAAACAGCCATATCTTTCTTGAATTCTTTGTAAGTTTGTTTTTACAATATTCCATGCAAGAAACTACCAAAATATCTGGAGATTGCAAAACAGATATAGCTTAGGAACGATTTTTAAAAGAGGTGATATGGCTGAATTGACTAATTCCGTAATGCTAGAAATCAGCTGCTTAACTTTTCAGTGTATACCTGATATCCCTACATCGGAAGAAAATATGTCCATGGATTAATGCTGCAATTTATTTGGATTATGATCGCTTTGGAAGAAAATGATTGTTATAGTTTTTTCGCTGCTTAAAACATAGCAAACCGGTAGTTTGAGCTCCATGAAAACAAGTTATATATCTTTTGCAATTGAGCCTCCTTAAACATAATGTTATGATTAGGAAAACAGTGAGGAAGCTATATTCTAACACTTAATTTGTTCAAAGATTTCAGGTCAGAATTCGTTTGGTTTCTTAATCTTAGCTTTAATAGATTATAAGTGTTTCATTTATTTGGAATATTTATCATCATATTCATCGGTACATGTTTTACATGACCGTTGACAGTTTTCCATCATAAAACTGGAAAACAATCCTTTGCAGAATCCAACATTTTTCCAATGAGTGCAGAAACGTTTCCTATCACTGCACAGTTTTTGCGTAGAAGATACTTCAGCAGGATTTATTTTTGAACTGATTAGCTTTCTCCATGCAGTTCCGAACGATTGTTTCAATCTGTGATTTTCAAATCTCAATTTTTGTAACATTCAGTGAACGCTACAGATTTGAGTGAAACTCACGAAAGACTAAAAGATTATAAGTTAATTAATAAGCCTTCGCATAAATCCATGAAGGTATGTACTGTACTATCAGTGACCGGAAAGTCCTGATTAGATATATGCTACGTGGAGAGGTAGAAACTAGGAAATCAATGAATTGAAAAAGAATAAAGATGTCCTATTCTTACCACAAACCTACCTGCTGAATTTCCTTGTTGTCGCCTCTGTTGTTGTCATTGTTAGGGTTGTAGTTGGTAATTTTGTTGTTGCCGCTGTTTTATTGCTCAACATCTCTATTGATTTGCAAAAACCACATGATTTTGAGCAGAAAGCCTGCATGAATGCATTCGAAATTGTACAGTGACCATTTTGCAGAAGTGTAAAACAATCTAGCCGTTGGTCTACACATGGCTGAACTGAAATCTTGCTTTAAATTAACTGGGATGTACAGTATCTGATTCTGTTAAAAATATAGTGAGCCCATATAAGAAGATTTTAGTGTATTATTAATTATCGCACCTGTGAAATTGCTGCACATGCCGCAGCTCTTTGAGCAGTAGTGCTTCATCCATCGCGGATTACCTATACACCATCCTGAACAGTAAGAATGGAGAGTATCATGAAAAATTATGTATCAGAAATAGTATGTCAACCGATGCACAAAGGGAGAGTGCTAGTTGTAGACCTACTGAAGAATGCATAGCAACAAGTAGAAACCAGAACTGGTTAAATTATTCTAATACTAACACCGTAGCTTAAAACATTTTGAAAGTATCGTCACTGAGTGAAATCTTTCAAGTGATAGAAGTTCCTAATTGACATTGAAGTGAATGACTTCAGGCTTTAGGAATTTATAACTCACAGAATTACCGTAAGTGACGAGTTCGTCGCAATCCGAACGAATGTTTTTACAAGACTCAGTGATTATCAGGTGTATGGATGCATTTGTGGGTTCCTGACTGATTTCAGATGCTGTAGTCGCTACTATTCTCTGTGTTTCAGTTACACCTGGAACTAACAGAACTGGGGGTTCACTGTTTCAAAAAAAGTGGGATCAATTATTGGTATTATGCGCAACTTCTAATTTAAATCTTAAATTTTGTGCTGAAGTCTTGATGCAGTCTTCATTCTAATGGTTCTATCATTCACATCAAACTTTTGACCTCTTTACTATTGATCTGTAAGAAAAAGATAAATTTCAAATATTTACGTAATGAACAGTTGTAAAGTTTATTGATTTTGAATATATCGAGCGTGCTGAACTTCAATCGCTGACCAATAGAAATAGGGATTTTCGGCACTAACGTTGGTTGACCATTGCGACTAAATGCTTGAGGTCCATAATGCATAATCGAATCGTAATCATAGTCAGCGCCGAGTGAATCGACCAAGCCGTGATCATATTTTTCAAATTGCCCTGCAAATGGGATAGCGTGATAGCGTTGAAGGAAGATAGTAATAATGAACAAAAAAATCCTAAATAAAAGAACAGGTTGAAACAATGGAATTAGAACTAGTGCCGCTTTATTTGTACAAGAACAATCAGTTGAAATGTACTACCAAAAGAACTAACCCTGCATTCCAGGTTGTATATTTCTCCAGAGCACTGTTATGTGCTTATCTCGATCAGTTCTGGACTGTTCATGGAAAAACCCAACCGCGTGCATTAGTTCATGCATTATGATGCCCTTTTGTATGCACCCCGTACCCAGCGATACCGTTTGTTTTCCTCCTAATAGTAAAATCAGTAAATTTAGGGAAACTCTGTTCAAAGTATTTAAATTTGTGTGGTAAGAAAAATGTTTTAAATTCATTTCATGCCTTGTACTTCGACGTCATCTGCTTTATTACATGATTGTAGGCGGAATTTTAAGTTCATATCGGAACATCATATGCGATAAAAATGTGAAACAATTAAGATAAGAATTCAAAGAAAAATAGTAAGAAAAGGTATTAACCAGTTTTTCCAACCATTGAATAACAACCTCGATCGGGCACTATGTAGATATAATCATAATCCTTAACAGATCGTGGTACCCAACGAACACATGTATGTTTCATATATTCCTCCATTGCGGCTGCTATTATTGAACGACTGCAATCTACCATTATTCATGCATTAACATATCATATTTCATTTTTATTATTAATCGCTGTGAATAGAATTCAAGATGATATTCTGTGTGCTAAATCTAATTTCATAAGGTATAGAATTCTCTTTCATACGATTTTCATATGCTTCGGAAAGAAAGAGCACATAAAGTAAACGTTCTTCAAAACATTCTGAAATCATTCCAGCACATCGCACTGTTTGTTGCATAAAAGATGTATAGGAGTTAATTGGAGAATAGCATCAGTTCTCGAAAAATCTCATCCAACGAATTGTTAAACTTCTTATTCCTAATTAAAAATTAAATGCAAATAATTTTAGCACTTTTCAGTAATTTTTAAAAGTAATGAGAAGTGTTACCTATATGGACTGTATTGGCTACTTATTGCATATGGTATTCGGGAACTAGGCCATAGTTGGTGTCGATTTCGTACCGCATTATATAGTACATTGTTTTGTGAATTTGTATCGTCATTATCAACATTTCGATAGATCTGAAGATATGGTGACGATAACAAATTGAATAATGTGCAAAGAGTATAATGGCATATCGTTTATATTATCTAATGGGCACTGCAAAGCTGCATTTAATTTTCAAAATCGAAGTACATGTAATTAAATATTCAGTCAGGAAGAATGACCCTTTAAAAATATATACTATATTTCTGAATTGTGGTTAAAATTTCAACAAAAAATACTATGCTAGAAAAGTCACAAGACTGAGGTTAGCAACGCTAATGTTTCCAAACAAAAGTTCAAAAATTGCAGTGCTGAAGCGCTCGAAAAATGAGCTTACATTTGCCAAATCAATGACATTTATATCCATATCACCCTCAAATTTGTCGGTCTTATAAAGAACCCAGTCATCACTATTTTGCCAGTGATCATCAAGCTCTGAAGCCATTGCGAAGTCAGTCGGCGTTAGGAATGTCTCATAATCAGCCTTCCGCCGATTGAAATACTATAATTGAAGTAAATACTATAATTTTTTGTTTTAGAACGGCCTGGAAAAATAGCGAAAAGCAACAGCTTAAACTATATTTTTTCAAAATTTGTTAAAATAAAATTTTACTTGTTAAAAAAAAAAAAATGTGTTATATTCAGTATTAAATTTTGTATAGGGAAAGTATAATGCTTTTCATACAAATATTTTCCGTTTAATGACGTTTGTGAAACTGACTTCACAGTGGCTAAAGCGTTCATTATAGCCAACCTTTAAATCATCCACATCATTCATTGCAGTTACAGCTGTGTGTAAAATTGACTCATGTGCAATGACATATAAACTTATTTTTAGAAAAATCATAGGTCTACGCTTCGCTGCAAATATTACTGATATACTTTTAATGAAACACTCCTACGATAATTGTAGGGAATAATGTGAAAATATTCTTCGGAATTGAACCGCATGACAATATTAACTATTATCCGTGTAAAAGTGATGAAATTGTAGCAACTGCAATGCAACATATCTCATATTCTTCTATTCACGTGTGAGTGCTATTTATTACTCTATTCACTGTTTTATCAGAAATTTAAAAAATTTATTATAGATCTGCAAAATAAAAAAGGTTACGGGGGAGTTTACCGAACTGTTTGGTGTAGTTTTAAGTTATTATTTGGAAACTTTTAAAGAACTGTTGTTTTGTCGTTTTTAACTCCTCATATGAGATTAATAATATAAAAATTTAATCAAAACAAATATTGCTAAATTTCCATTTTTGATTAAATACATTATGTTTGTCGATTTTCTCCTTTTTGTTGACGTAAGAATGAGAGGGTCAAATCAAGCAAACTAAAAAAGTTTCTAAACAGAAGCAAAACTCGTACATCAAGTTAAAGTGGACTTAAAATAAAAAGTTCATTTTTCATTATGAAAATGGCTCTACTCCTTCACTTCATATAAACATTTTCATTTCCATTTGCTTTGAATGAAAGACGTACAACTGATTTAGTAACTATAAATGTCGCCAAATTTAAGTAAAACGTTTGGGGAACAGAAAAGAAGTTGTTGGGAATATACAGTCAGGTGTTCGAAGAGATAGTTGCGGTTGGTTACTAATGTCGACAATACAGATATCGAACTTCTTTTACATTCAAAGTAAATAAAACTAATAGTGTATGATGTGGAGATCGTGTTGGCCCAAGGAAAACCAGCAATTTGTGTCGTGCAATAGACAACATAGACCACCAAACATTCAAATCCTACACAAAGTGGATGCTACTTATCTAATATTGCACGCGAAGTGCTTCGAAACCAGTACCGACTATTGCAAGTTACCCAACAGCTTCTGACCTATTAATGGATTTGAATTGATGTCTCACAATTCAGAAACTAGAAAACCTAGTTATAATTACTAACCCTTCACTCTGTAGCTTCCATAGTTGGAAAAATGAGATTAAGAAAATGGTACTAGACTTCATATGCGCTTACTTCACTTGTAGCCTTCAAATCAATATAGTCAATCAAAAGACCAAATCTAGACTTGTAGCGCAGCTTAGCCATGTAGAAATAACAAAATAGGTGACCAGACACGAAGTAAAATACCTATCAGTAACGATTATACACCCTTTATACAGGGTGTATAATATAATCTCGATGGTCTTACCTTAACAACAATCAGTTTTGATAGATCTATCGCCAGCATTGTTATTTGAAAGGAGTATAACTGTATTAATATTCTAATCACTTTTCAATTTTTTAATATATTTAGCAAACCTGCACAACGTAATCAAAAATGTTTATAAAATGTATGCATTTCTTCACTGCAAGAAAGCAGGATTTGTCCACTTAGTTTTTATTTTTCTATTTATCTTACTCGAGCATTGCAAACTGCATGGAAAAACAAAGTTACCACATAACTACAAATTATATAAACTTCATCTTCTAAGCCTTTCAAAGCCATAAAAATAAAATAATTGGAAAAAAAATTCCTTATAAAGTCAGAACCTTATACAATATTATAAGTTATATCATAATGACATGGAGCAATCTGATGTCACATGCCACAAAGAAAATAACTGAAGTATAGTAGCGATAAATTATATAACAACAAAAAATATAAACAGCAATAACACAACAATTCCGCTGTTTTCGAAATCAACAATTTCAAACCTGGATGATTCTTAATTCCCCTTGCAGAAAGCAAATTTTTAATCAGCTGTAAAACACAATCGTTCAGACCAACACATAGACAAAACAGTGAAAGTGACACATACTCTTTCGTAAGAGTAGTTCATTCATTTGATTAAATCACCCGATACCACAAACATAATCTGCTTTAAACTAAGTTTTCTGTAGATGAACAATCGCTGAACATATAATACTACGGAAGTTGACGCAATAAGAGTAGTAATTCTAATTAGAAATTTTTTCATTTAGCTGATCTATATCTGTATATCATTAAACACTTTTTTTTTTTTTTTTTGCAAAAAGCAAAAATTTCTTTACCGTTCGTATTTCCGCAATCACAGAACCTAAAAAACCTGTCAAGAAAGATATTTTCGAAACCTTTCGGTTACAGCAATAATAATGTAGATTGCAATACCCACATGAAATTCATTTGCTTTTCTTCAGCGGAGCTTCCTGATCATATTTCGACTTACTGCTGTACCATAGTACAAACGGAATAACTGTTGATGGTGCAACCAACAGCAAAAATACCAACCATACACCCACTTTCGCCGAAAACTTCCGATCATAATCTTTCCTTCGATAAATGTATCCTGAAGACATTCTTCAGTTCTAAAAAATCAAGTTTCACTTTCCGAAATGTGCATTATATGCTACTATACTTATTTTCGTCTGATCCATGCTGCGTGTCCCGTCGTTAGAGTAAGCATAAATACGAATCCCTGTACTACTTCACGAAATAAAAACATCAAAACATGGCATCATTCATTAAATGAAAATAAAAAGACCTTCTCCTGGAGCCGTTGTATAGCTGACGCGCACTTCCTTAGCATCTTCAGTTGGATAGTAAGTTATTTGAGCTGATGAATAATTAAATGCACCAACAGCTCGTGGACGCACTACTACTGAATGTGAAACATTATTGCCCGGAGCTATTCTTTCCCAACGTACCTCAAATTTAAAGTTTTTTCATATCAGCAGCTTTATTATAATAACAATATTATAATCAGAACTTAAAGATATTTAAAACTATTAAAAATATCTGCGCACTAAAAAACCCGATGAAGTGTGAAATTACCTGCAAGAGACCTTGTATAACGTCAAAAGTTTGCGTAGGGAAACCATCTCGATCATCTAATGCCACACGTAAGGCAGCCTGAAAAACTTGTTCAACAAGCATACTATCACTCCTTCTACTGACTAGATCTTTTAGACTTATTTAAATATAACAACAGTTTCACAAGGCAAAACAAATGTTCGTCCAGTATCCATAAAACGATGAACGGTACTTGACATTTGCATCCATTTCTTGTTGGGATCTGGTAAACAGTAATAATGAAAAAAACGTTCATTCACTATAATGATGTGAAAACTTATGCAATGAAAACATTCATTATAATATCCACTCTTACCTTGTCACCGACGTTGTATAGACGATAATCAATAATATAATCCATTCCTTCAACTGCATATTGTGATAGTGTAAATTTTGATGCAACAATATGTGCTGAGTCATTCATATCTGTATCTTCTCCATATATGATACTTACATACAGCATTAAAAACGCTGACAATTTCCACCTCATCTTAAAGCACTGATAATTATATGTAAAAACAAACTCACTCCAAAACAAAATACATGCATTTTCACATCATCTGAAGAGATTTGCAAGGAATGGAACTAAAGTGAAAAACCCTTAAAGTACGAAAATTATTACGTGAATATACTCTATGAAGCTTCAAGTCAGACAACAGAACAGCACATATAAGTATTTCGACCAATGAATGATCAATAATCGGATCATTGATCGCCGCTACCGTAAGCCTTGACCAAAGAGAGAGAAGGACCACACTTCAGTCTCATTTATTCAAAAGAACAATTTTGCTACGTAATCGCATAATAAAATTTACCAATGTTTTAATAGTTTACTTGGCAAATCCACTAAAATCTCTCGAAAATTTACCGAAAAATCATACTATAATTAATAAAACTTCAACTATACGTAGATATCATTTTCATTAAGAGACATAGATCCAAACCAATGAACGGACGGCATTTCTTTCAGTACCTCGTCACTACATCCACACCAATATCAGCCTCTACATACCCGCTGCATCTTGCCTTCATGTGACGTCGACAGTCCGACGTCTCCTCCTCTACCTGCAGTACATTTATAGAGAATTTGATGAAATGTACATATGAGCTGCACAAACTGCAACTACAATGTGCAATTATTACGACTCAAGGAAGCGCTAGATTTGAGGTGTCATTCGCTCACTCTCATCCGGAATGCCTGGATCATTCGGATTAGGAGAGACATCAGCTTAGCTTGAAATTACCTGAATCATCACTGGTTTACTGCCGTCTCAGTGCGAAATGCGATTACTACTAGGTTTTGGTGAGTTGCGTACCTTGTTTAGTTTGGTGAGAATCGGACAACGACGCGACATTGCTAAAATTCACATGATCGGAATGGTATGCACTACCAGCTTCGGTAACGGTTAGTTGACAGTACCTGGTTACACCGTTAACGCTCACACAGAAACTGAGACTGGAGGGGAAATAATAAGGGATGGTAGCGCACGGAGAGCGAGAACACTTGGGAGGGAATAAAAAACTAACGAAAATAATGATAAGAATATCAAGCAGAAGCTAGATTGCAAGTTAATTGATTTTACTACGGAAAATAAATCGAATCTACACACTTAATAACTGATAGACGCATCACGGATTCCACCACATCCATACGGAATGAGTGGATGAACGAATGTATAAAACCAATGAAGGTGATAAGTTAATGTTGTTACAAAGGATCCGCGCCATAGAGCCTAAAGATTATGGAGTAAATCAGAAACGCTGATAACTAGAATCTTGTCTTGATGTGTTTCCACTTTTTTTGAGGAAACCAGTTCACAATTTATACCATAACATACTTTGGTCATGTCAAAGTCTTCGTTTTAAATGGCTCTCGTTTAACACCAATTTGTTTGCTTTTATATCACCTTAATTTTATCCTCTTTTCCAATGCTTCGTTCTGTTTCAGTTTAATTTTCGTTTGTCCTGTTTTTCGAAGAACCCTCCCACAATGATGGAGTAAGCCTAA